TTTAGCCACACAAGGAACCTTTAGACAGCTCCACACCAGAGTGAGAATAAATGCAGAATTTCAATGGGTGAATCTCTCTGCTGCTGCCAGGTTTGTCCTGTAACCACTGAGGCCAACAGTAAACCCCGTAACACACAGTTCACAGGCTCCTCACTCTTTCGAATCAACAGAACTTAGTCTGTTTTGCTTGTGGTTGTACTTTGGCTTGTTCTATTTTAAAACCCAGACCCTGGTTCAACCCACTAACCCACCCCTCCCCAACCATGTCATGATGTATGGAATGAATCTGGAAGTCCAGTTTACAGTGTACCTGGAAAATTTTCAGATGGCAACACAAATATAGAAGCTTAAATTTTATTAAATGTGCAGGTTTGCAAGCTAACAGAAGCTGTGAGCCTCAGTGTGCTGCCATATTTTCTCACTAGAAAGCCTTGTCCCTTGCACAAAGTCAACTGTATGGCATCAATTGATTCCTCACAAAGTTTTGTCAAAGTTCCAAAGCAGTATAGTTTACTTTAATAGACCATCATCTGGCTACACTTTATAACCTCAGCCTTTGTGGCTTCCATCATTTCCCTGACGGGAGCATGTTGCAGTTGCTGCAGTCTAGTATACATGAAAATATTTCCAAGGTCAAGGTATTCCTGGGTTTGCTTAGCAAAGGGGAATAAAAAAAATGATAGCACAAAAAAAACAAACTGATGCACACACAATGATGCATTTGGACAAACTGTGTCATGGTTTTAGTTAATCATGTGGAAGTGTTACTAATATTGACATATTGACAGGCTTTGGTAAAGACACAGCTATGCACAGAAGAATGCCTGAAATTGACAGTCAATGTAGTGTTTTTCCCACACCAGTCAGGACTACACTGGCTCATCAGAAACCATAAAAAGCAAATAAATGATGAAAGCTCTTCCATAAAATACATCTAAACCTTAACTTTTTATGCTTGATGCGGCCTCTTTAAGATTCTGAATGGATTGTTTGCACACTCTTTAGCAATAGTTTTTCCACTCTAGATTATATAAAAACAAAAGAATATAAATCATATTTTTGGATGTAGGAGGACAGCCTCAGTAAATCTACCTTTTGTTCTTCCTCAAATCCTATTTCCACTGTTGGGTTTATGTTTTGCTTTGTATTCTTGCAACGACAGATACAGTCCATAATTTGTTGATTCTGGTGCACCACAATATGACTCAGAGTCGACTGTGTGTATATATAGCTTGACAGACTTTCTCCATTGACTGAGTCATGGCAATGTATTTAACACACTTAAACACTCATTGGGGTGGGTTGTAATCTCAAATTATAATATTACAACTAGTCTTTCTATAATCTATGCCACAATATTCATCAAACCAAGTTACATGTACTCTTCTGCACTAATAAAACAATAACATAACAGGATTAAATATTTTTCCAGCAATATAATCATACTTCCTTCAAAAAA